GTTTAAATCAAGTAGATATTACGATTTTTTGTATGTTACTGGAATTACAAACCAGTTGATAGTTTTAGCCATCTGATGGAAATTGGCAAGCGTTACCTACATTATAAATAAGATAAAATTAGGTACACGTACATGAACAGCACCACATATATTCGAAAACGAATTTATGTTTTATGAACTGGAACACAGATGTGATAGAGATTACTTCTAAGTCTTTTTCGGTTAGATTATATTGTAAATAATGAGTCACACATTTAGTTAGTAATTAGTATACTTAATTACGCTTCCGGACATATAAAAATTGAATTAAAAATAATGAGAACGTACAATTTTGAGTCTACACTAATAAAACAAAGATATATCAAATCAATTTCATAACAGTACTGATAGTATCTGCAAATTTGTATGAACGTATTTAATTGTTTCTTGTGGAAGTAGTATTACTAACGCCTTGTGAATTAAATGGTTGCAGTTGCCGTGTCCGCTCTGGTTCGCAATCTCGATGTCAAAACATTATCACACGATCTCTGTGTCTATAATAGCAGACGAGACTTGCTAAATAATCTTAAACAAAAGTAAAGAAGAATATGCCTACAGAAGAATTGCATTCATTTGCAGTTTTTAGTGATTCAGTTCCATAATACAATTGTAGTTCAGTATTTATTGATTCAGTTGCATAATCCATATGGAATTTCATATGTATTATGAAACTGAATTAATTACTTATCTGGAAATATCTATTTCTATGTAGGTTTATTCTATGATGAACATCATTCATGAAAATAAAAATTACATTTGAACCCACAAAAGTAGATTTTGTACTCATCTATGAAACATCAAAAACTTTAACTGCAAAATTGGAAATATTGCGTTTGAATGAAAAAAATGCACGTGATACGAAATTCCCAAAAACATTGGCACATAACCTAATAGTTAGGGCTTAGAGTAACATAATAGTTAGGGCTCCTATCTCCCTCATGTAACTGACCAATGTAGTTTATTTGTGAAAAAGAACTTTTTTCATTGGGATAAAATAAACTTATATTATTACATATTATTTCAATATAAATACCAATTGTAATACATAGAAATGGCTGACCTTATTTCAAATATAATTATGTAAGTTGAACTCAGTTATAACATAAATAAATTAGTGTTTTAGTAGTAATTTCATTTTATATTATTTATTTATTATCTCGAGAGAACGCTGTCATTTCAGCTGTTTCGTAATTTGTCTTTATTTTATATATATCGCAAATTGGAATCATATAACGCTAATGTACCATTTACCATTTTTCTCAATTGTCAAAGTATTGAACTTGTGTACGCCTTTTCCTATTTGGCAACATGGTGATCATTAAAAGTATATCATAAAACAAAAGAGGTTTCGACAACAAGGTGGTTTTATAAATAACCTTGGATAAATAACTATAAGTAGGTATATAGTGTTTGACGACGACATATTTAAAGTATGAAACAGATATATCTAATATAAATCATGACGGTGGTCTGTTCGCATACAGTATTTACTTACATAATTAATGGACTTTGTAATATTATAATTGTTTTAGTATCATTATTTTTATTAATTACGGCACCTCATAAAACTATTATAGCGTACATATTAAGTTACTATAAAATGTTAATGAGGTTTAAATACGATTTATGTTATTATTTGCCTCTTTATGATTAAAAAATAGTTTGTCATTTATTAGGTCCATATTGACTGATGTTTGCTAATTAATAATGAATAGTATGGTTTTTTAAATATATTAGTAGTAGAATGTGCTAAGAATTTAGTAGGTATACTTATAAACACGAATTTGTTAATGCTACGGAAATATCGCGTTAAGGGATTTTCGGTTCATTTGTCGCTTGGATAGTTGGGTTTTTTTGTTGGTTTGCAGATTACTTTATACAAAGCCAGTTACGATATGATTGAACTTCCAGTAGTATATTGAGAACTGTGTTAATAACTGAATTAAAAGCAATATATCCTTTACCTTGCTGAAATTACACTTAATGCAGGAAAACATACTAATTATTATCAAAATGATTTGAGAACGCTATACCTACATTATAATTAGCCTTTATTTTCAATCACTTTTTTAATAAAATAAGCGAAAGTATAATAAAACAAGCTATTAAATATTACTAAATTACTTTAGTCGTATTTTATTGTATCCTTGACTGTTGAAATTACTACTAAACGTTTATTTCCCGTAATAAAGAGAGAATGCTGCACTGCATAATTCTTCAGAGTTTCTTTGTGTGAATCATTTTGGTTTTAATACTAGTGCTATTTACTATACAACAGATACAGAAATTGATTCTGTCTGTCCATACGGTGGCTGTCCGGAATTTCCCGTATTTCAGAAAACAATTCAACAAATATTAGTGGTACAGATTATGTACAAAGTAAAACAACAACTTATGGATTTTATTTATTATTGTAAGATTGCGTTTAAGAATTAGACGTGAATAGAAGGCTATACAACATAAGCGGTTTATGATAAAGGTCCTGGGATCAGAGAACAGTCGCTAGACTATTAAACAGATGGTCAAATAATGCAGGAACTAGAAGACCAGTTAAAGGATTCTTACAAAAATGAGGTCATTTGCTATGTTTAATTGTACAAAAAAGTCATAATATACTTCTGTGCTCAGCTCGTTCTCCGTGGAAATTTACAGAACAGGCTTATGTTTAGGTCAATGATATTTTTAAACGTTCTAAACATTAACATACCTACAGCTAATTTGTAATTTACTAACAATTATTATCAAGGTGGTTGTGAAAGTATTAAAACGTATTTGTTTTTGGGTATACATTGCAACATACTGCATTATATGAATATTAAAATGCTCGTGGTGTAATTTGCATTGTATTGTGCCTGTCATCAGATTTAATTATATATTAGATATATATGGAGGACATACAGATTTATATAATGCAATCAGACTATTGACATAATTTTATTTTATTATTCCTTCACTTTCAGTTATATATATAATAATACTAGCTGTGTACGCGAATACTTTTCCTTCCGTCCACGTGGATGACGAATGACGTTACATGACAAACTTTCATACCCCATTTTATTTCACCTCGTTTAAATTTTTTTACAAAAAACTTAAATTTCATATTTATTCATATTTAATCAACTCCTTAAAAATAAGTTTCAAGATTTTAGCTTTAAAACTGACGATTCTTCCATACAATCTTTCTTCTCTTTCAACCCGTTATTATATTATATTATTTTCTTCGTATTAAAAAGTAGTTGCCCATATCCTTTTTCAAGGTTTATAGTGTCCTTTTATTGAAACATAGACAAGAGGAAATATATTATTAGTTCATTAAATTAGAATGTTGGTACACCACAAGTTGTTGAACGGCACAATCACAAAAATTCGCTTCAAATATAAATACTGGACTGTGCTTATAGGAAGTTTTAAAGTCTTATAAAATAACGGGATTAACTATTCAGTAGCACATAAAATAGACATTTAACAATAGATATGGATTATTATTGATATCCTATTGTAGTACAGCCATTGAAGCATCTCGCTGAATTATATCACAATTATTAACAAAATTTGATTATGTGGATGTCATGCTTGATCCGGTTTTGATTTCCGATACTTTACGTAATAGGTACATAACATAAATGAGATTACCGTAAGTGAAAACGTAAATAAATTACTGCATGATTAAACAAGATTCGCTTTATTATGTTGTTAAAATAATATTGAGAGCATCGATGTTCGTTTACTTTGTAATAAACCACTTAACAACGGCCTCGACTATTTTATAATTATTGTATTTTTTAATGGATTATAATGGAATTATGCATCTGCCTGAGCTAACGGTATATATTGGTTGATGATAAGATTAGTATGAAGTCTGGTCAATTAGGCCATTGTGGGTAAAGCAGGGAAGAAAGAAAAGCGTGTGTAGTATCAACCTGATATGGTACAGTAATAGCAATGGAGGAACTAGTCCCCATTACTAACAATAATAGCCTAATTAATCTATTATTTAATATTTTAACAGATTAGACGCAATTAGATTTATAAGACTGTAAAGATCTTGAATTTGAGTCTGTTTGGTAGTAAGTACACGGTGTGTCAATTTAAATTGGCGAGTTTAATTCTGATACTATGTTTAGCATCTAACTATCTAGAATACAGTAGGCGGCAGTAAACAAATTTTGTTGGAATAAATATCATTATTAGTCCTTTTTATTATTTTTACTTTGTTACGAGAGCATTAGGAAACATACATTTAGTTTAAAATAATTTAGAAATTAAAAATAATGTTACTTATATTGTAAATACGAAAGTTTGTAAAGACGAGTTGATATTTATTACTCAACCAATATATAAATGGCTAAACTCAATTTACTTATATTTGGTACAGAGATAAATTATATGATATATATAGCGGATAGTTCACGAAATAGATATGACTAGTAATAACTATGTATATAAGATGACATCTAGTTTCAAAGAGAGTAATGTTAGTATGTATACCTACAAAACATATTTAAGTCATAATTAAAAATACCTTGTTCAGTAAGTGATGACATATTAAGTAAATACTTTCAAACATTCTGAAATGTCAAATAGCCGTTAATATATTAATAATCAATCAATTATTATCGTGATACACACCTAAGTACTTGTTTCCATATTAATATTAGAAATGCGAAAGTGTCTGGCCATTTGTTTGTTATCAATTCCCTACTAAACGGCTCGATGGACTTTAATTAAATTTGTAAAAAGTATCGAGAGCACACGAAGAATACGAAATATCTCGTTTATTCGGTATTTACAAAATGATAATCATACACACATACATACCACCCTCTACACATACTATTTTGTTGATTAGTCTAAATTTCTCTAATTCTAGTTTAAGTTCTGAATTGTCTGATTACCCATGAGCCGAGTATGATGGCGGAATACTTATACAATTATACTTTATACAATTTATTTTTCAGGACCTGTAGTGTTCCCGCCCTCGCCGCCCGGAGACCCATCTCAGACAAGTGGCGTTGTTGTAGGTGCTTCAGGATATGGCTTTGTACCACCCGGTTCCCAAGGTAAACCATATGGACGATGAATAACCTAGTCAAGTAACTTAGTACTAATTAACTGTAATATTTCAATTGACCTGCAGTAGGTACAATAGTATGCATCAACCTTGTGTGACTTCAAATTAAAAAGAAATACGCTTTTGTTATTCTGTATAACTTGGTTTCGCTTCGTATCTAATCTTCTTCTAGTTAATTCTACATTAAGAAAGATTTTATTTCTTAATTCTCTCATTTCTTCTATATTAAAACGTTGAATTTTATTGATTCCACACAAGAGTTTGCATAGTTTAAAATAATTTATTTTTTATTTCCAACAATAGCTTTAAGTGCATGGATAGTATTTGCATGATCACCCAATCCTAGTAATACATCCTTATCCCGGATAAGGTTAATATACACATCTACATATCTACGGTATATTAATGTTATATAGATAAGGGTTAGTAAAACTAATTTTGTATTGTATAAATGGTATAAGCTTTTTTTATGGATAAGGCTGTAAATAGATCCATTGTAATTATTTATTTAAATAAAAATGGTGAATTATCATATGTTTTATTGGTCCCTTTAGTTATAATTTGCACAATATTATGCATGTGTGCACATGAACGCCTGATGATGAATTCGTGTATTATTTGTAGGTAATGGATATTGATGTTAATATATGTACAGTGAACTTATATTATATTTAATATACGATGTATATATATTAGAAATAATGTTAATATGTATTATTTTATACATTAACATTATTTCTATTTAATTTATTATTATATTATTAAATAAATATTTGCTTTATTTATAAACTTGCCATATATTTATGAATTTTGTACATAGCTTAAACTAGCTCATAAAATGTGTATGTACATTATTTTATTTTTCTTAAATGGTTATATATTATGTATGTAATTTTTTCTTAAATTCGTCTGATACATCCTTAAAAGATCAATAATAAAATAAGTATAAAATGATGACAACAATTTTTTCTTAACAAGACTACTACAGTTATTGTTGGAACAGCCAAAACTATTTACGCTATAAAATCTGAGTATTAGAAATGTAAACTAAATAATTTCTGGTATGATAAACAAGCTGATGGACCACGTGATTGGTAGTAACCGTCGCCTACTTATATGAATAGCAGTAATAACAACACGATGTTATGTGACGCCCATGATATTTAGGCGATTTAATTCCAGAGGATTAAGATGCCATACCTCTTATTTTGTATTTACACTAACTTATACCCTTCAGTCTAAACACAGGTTATAAAGAAAACTGCTTGGCGACTAAAATAGACCTGCGGGTGTGTGGGTACGCAGACGACTTTTTATAAAGTCTATCTCGATGAAAGAAGACTAATGAAGTTTTTATTACGTTATATTATTTTGATATGACCTGACAAGATTTAAAAGCATTAAAACTTATTCCATCAACCCAGTTAGGTGAAGCTTTTCGATTTTAATTTTTGTAAATAGAATATGACTTTATATGTATTTATAAAAATATGATTCACAAAAAAGAAATAAAAATAAATAATTAATAAATAAATAATAAAAATATTAAAGGAGCCATCTGCTACAACTATATAGATAGGCAGAGAAATCATGTACTAAGGGCTTTTATTCTTAGATATTAGGACATCTACATCTATTGCTTCGAATCGAGTAACTTCTACCTTAGTATCTTTATCGAGTACTCAATATCGGTTAATGTCTGTACATATATATACATGCAGATATGTGTAAAATACTTCTTGCTTGGTGTCAAAGAATGGAGGTAAAAGGCAATAGGTGTAAAGTTTTAAACAAAACTCTTTTTCTATGATGTCTCAGAATAGATAAGAAATAAAGATCAAGGAATATATTTGATATAATTTATCAAACTAAGGTTTTTTATAAAATGAAACTTTCACCTTCAAAAATGAATTGAAGTATTTAAAAAAATATCGTTTTTGTTCCATTTATGGGTAATGGTAGAATAATAGATAATAACGATCAAGAAATAAATATAAAATGACCTTGAAAACCTTGTTTAGATAATGGCAAATAAACCTCATCTCTATATTATAATTATTACAAACCATATCCTAAAACGAATACGGAAGACATCGAACCGCTCCTTAGCAACTGTTAATACGTCATTACATAGCAATATGTTAATTATTCGTTTCATTCTCTATAATTATAAATGCTAAAATCGTGCAGCAACCACTCACAAAATCCACTAGCCCGAATCGTGATTGATATAACAATTGCCTACAAAAGAAAATTATTTATTATCTAAATGAGATAGGGGGAAACGAGAGCTCAATTTGGCGGTATGAAGGTCAAATCATTCACTACTTGTATGTTTTAGATATATATTTAAAGTATTTTAGATAGTACGACAAATAATAATCAGAGGTTGTCAAATGCCGATATAAATAAGCATGAGGGGTACTGTGATCTTATGACACGGCCTTCATGTAAAAGCAAGGAAAGCAACGGTTGGCACTTACTTAGGTGATTGGACATCTTACTTGTCATTTAAGTTACATAAAAAATTAATACCACGTAATTTAAAGGTAATTGGAAATACAATACAAAGGTTTATTACTATTTTTTGTATCATATTTGAAATATTTACTACATTTGAAGTAAATGTTTAAAAAAATTAATTGCAATAAATAAATGAGCTACAACTATCTCATTATCAAGGGATAAAAAATAAAATAAACAATAATTCCAAAAATTTGCTCATAAATGTGGATATTAAGTAACTTTACTAACATGTAAAACTTTAAAAATATAAATGATATAGGTGAAGCATAATATATTAATAGATACAAAATTGCATTTTAGTTATACGTTATATATAAGTATAAAGTTAATATTGGGTATGGACAATACTGAGACGCGGATAATTAAGGACATATAAATATATCGACATCCAAGTATGTTCCTGAAGAAGAAATAATTGATTTATGCTATCTGTTATGATATTAGGGAATGGCCATTAGGGCTAGGATAAATCCTCATAAAACCAATATACAATATAGTAAAAGATTTTGGTTAGGATATTAATAGATTAAAAAGTAATTGATTTTACGCCCGTTGTTCCAATGATTTATTCGAACTTGAAAGTCGATTAATATATTTTTTTTATAATAACAATCCATATGTTTACAATAGATATTTTATTTTACATCTCTAATAGTAATCAATCAGCACCCGTGTAACGGAAATGCTATAAATGATTGTGCGACATGCTTTAATAAATAATTCTAGGTCTAATCTTTAGATTATTATATTTGATCGGCCTTTTGTAACAATGTCTTGGATGTCTTGTAGCTGTCTATATTTTTATCAGATCTGTTTGAGTTTCATTAATATTTTCAAAGTTATCTTTGATTGTAAGTTACAAACTAATTTGACGGAATATTTACTGCGTTATGATTAGGACATCATATCATTTAAAAAACTACATATTAATATGTTAATTTTGTTATTTACAGTTTAATAAAATATATTTAGTATTTTTGATAAAACTGTTATTAATTTATAATGTATATGTGGGAAAACGTGTTTCTCTCTGTCTGTTTATCTTTTTACTAGTAAACGACTGAATGAATCATAATAAAATGTAAGATAGATTTTACTAGGAATCCTCCTAGTAAAATATATATTTTTATAAAATATACTATATATCCGGATGGATATAGAGTATATTATATAATAACTAAAGTTTTTGATTATACAATAGTTATTAGAAATGCGAAAATATGTTTGTTTTTTACCTTAACGCGATTAATCGACTAGAGTCCTAATATGACGTAAAAACAGATAGTATAATATGAGGACAGATACCGGTTACCTACATTTAAGTACCTTTTATTTAAAAAAAATATAATGTGTAACAGCTAGTAATATTTTTTACTAATATTATAAACGACTCTTGCTCACAAAAACTACTAAACGGAATTTGATATAAATTTTCAGTAAAATAGCTTATACATCAGAATAACACATAGGCTATAATTTAAAAAGAAGTTACGTAAATTGAGCGAAATATAATGGTAAACGAGGTTGGGCGGGTCAGCTAGTATATAGTATACAAAAATTTAAATATTTCAATCATTTATCAATGAGCTTTTTAATTACTTTCAGGGAAATTCCTTGATAACTTCATTTAGGCACATTTTTGGGGAACATGTTAACCCGACCTGGAAAATATTCAATTTTCGTTCTCTCTTAATCTCTTGGGCCCTTCGGAACACGGTCAAACGCATTTTAATTATGAAATTGACATATCGCAAGGCCAGCATTACAGGACCGTATTCAGTATGGTATATGGAAAATATATCATATATCATTTTGTAATTTAAAATAAGATTAAATATATTCGGAAGGTACTTCGTTTATCAAGCGATTATTATGTCTTCATTCCGGTGTATCTACAAAACAATTAATTAAATTAAGAAAATAATATGCAGATATAGTTAGCTGAGTTTTAACGCGAATGATAACATAGCTTTATCTAATAAATCAGTTCACTTTTAAGTGAAAATAGATAGATGTATAGATATAACATATATTTTATATTATATTATAACAGCTATAAATATATAAAAACAATGAAAATAATATAAAAAAACCAGACATAAAACAATTCTATAAATATGAATTTAATTTAGGTCAGTCGCTAACAATTTACCTCTCTCGACATATCGAATAGTTTTGCCATAGTGGGGTGGTGGTGACGCGACAAACTATATCAATAATGATTTATACGGATATTGTGCGGGGATTCTGTTAGATAACAGACCCTGGATACGTCCCTATCCTGGGTCTGGACGGGTTCAATGTGCAGCGGTGCGGGCATTTTATGATTTAATAAAAGAGTTTATACTTATGAAATTAATTGCAACTCCACACCCGCCGGTACCATTTCTAGTCCGGCTTTTGTGATGTTTATTCAATGCATATTTATATGTTTGCTCGCTCAAAAACGAAGGGCTCTCTGTCATGTGTATTTGTTAAATTAATTCACATTACAAAACGGGGTCCATTTTCCATCCTTTAAATGTAGGTATAAATGTAAAACATTTTTAGTTTGGTATGATGCTACTTTCAACTATTAAATTTAAATAATAGGTAATATTTCTTGGTATTTAAAATTAGATTGAATACTAGTTGTTCGCCGCGTGTGTGTGTATGTGTTTGTTTTAATAAAAGATAGTGTATATCCATTTTGTGATACAACCTAGCTTCATGTTAAATTTAACAGAGATTCATTAAGCCGTTTAATCCTGAAAAGGCAAATTAACAGATAGACAGATCTAACTAACGAAATATATAACGAGTAGGATGCTTTAGATAGGTTTATCTGTAAAATTATCCTGTTTCTTAACTAGAATATATTTAATTATAAGTCATCTTCCCTCTGCGTGAAAGATTACTCCTTTCATATTTTGTTGCTGCATTATTAGTGAATAAATAGAAATTGTCCGTCAAATCAAACTAGCTAGTCTAGCTAGGTTGGCTAGTTTGATATGATGATGTTGAAGATGGTTGATGGACATATGCTATTGAGCTCAATAGCATATGTACTCTAATACATCATTATGTTAAATTTTATTAAAATCTGTTCAGCCGTCTTACTGTAAAATGATAGCAAACAGATAGATAGACTTTCGCAATTATAATATTATCTTATTTGGATTATTTGGCAGATATCAAAAAATTCTGCAATAAACCTAATTAAGTCTAAAGGCTTCTAATCTAAGGCCTTCTGCTAACAAAGTCAAGTTAAATGAATAGGAAAATTAATTATTAAAAAATTTGCTTTAAACAGATATATTCTCTATAATCAATATATAACTGGAACTTTTAGACCTGATAATATAAATTCACATGCAAATTAAAAAAACACTAACAAGATTAAAACTGGATCTATATAATTTTGTGCAAGCCAAGGAACGAGACGTAGGTAGTTAATGAATAAGACCGTATCTACCGCAGACAGTTGTATATCTATGTACAGACTGACGTGCTTTTATCTAAGGTTCCTACCTCGTGGGGAGAGAGTACTGACATATAATTAAATAGAATATGTGGACTCTGGAACAATTCATTGCTGAACTATGTCCGAGACAGAACAAACAATTCTTTATAAGAGAAAATACATGTCTTGGCTGTCACAGCAAAAAAGCTTATGAAACTGTCTTAAGTTGGAAACTCCGGGGAAACTTTTCGAGACATATCCGTTTTTCCACCCTCTGTTAAAACAATTGTTTCGTTTTGTATAGTACCTATATTGATCTAAAATACAAATAATTTTATAGTTATTTATTTGTTTTTGAGTACTGGATGAACATATATTTAAAAACTCGTGCGGGACACGAGTTCTTAAATATATTTGTTCTCGGCACCGTACTGCTGGACATTATTACCACTGAGTTTGTTGTTCCCTAATTATTTAAATGGATTCAGGGACAATGAATTAATAATGAAAAAAAAATTTAAAGGCGTTGTTTCGAAGAAGTTGTCGTCGGCTGTCGTTTTTGGTTTTATTCGTTACAAATATACAAAAACAAATGTTTTCTCTTTATTATATTAGTATATAGGGGGAATTTGGAGTACTAAACATAGTTCTTTCTGTGTAATTTTTAAAAGAGTAGCGTAGAGTGCGCAAAAGTAGTATGAAATCTCTCAAGACTTTTATGGAGTGTACTAGAGATGTACTCCGTAAAAGATCGCATAAAAGATCAGTAATCAATATAGAATGGTCACCAATATATTATCATCATTGATTACTGGTCATTAAACGTCATAACCAACTCTTCAGTACGCATGTTTGAAACATCGTTGTCTACGCATCTGTATATTATTATAAGACTAAATATACCCTTGATGTTTGTCTATGAGTACGCGATAATCTCACAAACTACTAAACGAATTTTCATACGATTTTTATCTATCAATAGAGTAATTCCTGCGGAAGGTTCACGTGTAATTGGTTAAAGTTTTCAGTAAATTTATATAAATTACGGTTCGCTAGTTTTATATAAAGGAGTCTTCGGTATAAGTTTTGGTTGAAAGTTCATATAATATATCTTGATTGTCGCAATTAATAAGTAGTTTAAATAATAATGAACAAGGCTTTTCGTTTGGTTTGTTGACGTTTTGCACATCTGTAAATTCTGTAATACTTGCTCAGTGATGTTATTTCGTAGTAAAGCAGTGACTATGCTGTTAAGCGAAAGCGTTGGTTTAATGAAACCTAAAATGAGGCTATAAGTGTTCGGAAGATATTCGATAAAAGTAACCAATTTGGTTACTTTTAATCAAGGATTAAACAAACAAGGATTTATTTAAAATATTACTATTTTACCGATAAAATGCATTATTTCATTTGTAATTTGCAATAACAATCAGTCAGGCAATGTCAAGTTGGTTACCGCCGAGATATTGCTTTTTATTTATTATTTTGCATGTGAAATTACTGGAATGTCGTATAATTCGATTATAAAACTGAAGGTCTAATATAATGAAATATGTAGATATATATTTTATAAAGTCTATTTACGAATGATTTCATTGAGTAAAGTATAATTGATTTGTTGTAATTTTTTAACAACTTGCTGTCACGACTGTTATCCCAAAAGATGTTAGGATTGGAGTACTGGGGCTACTTAACCAGTAGGTCACTACGCACTCTTTTTTGAAATAACTCTTTATTATCATATCTTACTGCGCGACGCTTATGAAAACTCCAGGTACTGTGTCCATAGCTTTCGTAGGAAGTGACGCGTCTCGCCACTGCGGCGCCGTGCCATGCCGGAACTCGGCTGAAGGGTTGCGCCGTCACAAATCAAGTTATGAGAAACGCCACAAAAGGAAACTTTGTGCATTTCCGAACCGACGAGCGTGAAATCCGACGCGCATGGTGTACGAACAATTTGTTACTTTAAAATAGTGACAGTAAATCCTATTGTCGCTCAGCTAACTTTGAATGCTCTCTGATACAACTAAACTTGACTGGTTATTATCCTAATTCATATTGAAAATGTTTATAATATTACATTGTTAAAAATCATGCTTTCATTTTCCGCGCAACTTAATATTTGTTTTATTTTGCATCCCCGTAATTAAAATTTATAATTATATTTTATGAGTCATAGCATGATAACCGCATCAAAATTAGTATAATATAATTAATATGATTAAGAGTCTACTATACCGGACATGGTACTGAAAACTATTCTACTGAGCGGAGAAAGAAAAAACAATTTGATGCTTTTCTTGTGAATTATTATGATTTCCCATACATATAGATTAACTCACAAATAGATAATATATATAGATATTATATTTTCCGCTTTATTTCTTATATTTGTATCTACTATATACTCGTATATTTAAATTATAGTTATATTTGTAAACAAATTACAAATATACAGTTTTGAATGCGCTATGTTATTATAAAAAATTAACCTCATGGGAATATTATTCCTTATTTATAAGTTGCTTACTAACATAATATGGATTTCGCGATTCACGTTTAAATGAATAAATAAAAAATATATATTTGATGTTTCATGAATGAAACATCAAGTTGATTTCTGGACGATAATCCACTATTTAAAGTATATCTATTTTCATACTTTTAAATGTATTATGTATTATTTTTTCAGGTCGTGCGCTGCCCAGATATTTGTACCAAGGCTTCTTCCTCAGAAGATAAAAAACAACTAGACAATGCGTTACAATTAAATTATAAAAATGTACAAATAATTTAACGAACATAACCATTGTGAATATTCAGATTCATATCATGTCATTTTAAATAATTTATATTTTTGTATAAAAAATATATATATTTCTACGTGCAATAATGTAAAGTTAGTATATTCACAACACCTACATTGTAAATTTTAAAACTGTGATAAAGTAGGTACAGTCAAGTTGAAAAAATAATGTATAATATATGCCGCTCTGTTTTCGAACTTGTCTGTCAATAGATTGTATGTAATCAAATAATTTATGTATGTTGTGTACAATGATGGAATGGGAATGTATGTAGTAAATATAATATTAAATAAAATACATAATTTAATGATTTATAATTTCCAGATTGCTAAACCTGAGTAAGCTAAGTTTATCGTTCATTCATAGAATTGAAAGAGACGAGATGTTCCAGTTTTAGGCTAAATTACTGCTTGAGATAATAAAAATGTTAAAATCTGGCCTATTTTCTATCGGATTATTGTACCATTATATCTAAAATATTAATAACACTAATATTATAAATAACATAAATGTGAAACTGTGTTTCTATCTATCTGTCAGGCAAAGACGTTGGCAACAGCTAGATTAGCTTGAATGTCTAACGTGCTACAAGAACTTACTATTTTAATATATTACAGATAGTGTATATATGTAGGTACAATTTATCTGCTTCCTTTATTGTAGCATTGTTTCGTAGACATGTATCTATAATATTGTAAAAATATTTGATATTCCATTCTTCTCATTTTGCTCCATCAAAAGGTTATTCGAAAGTAGTAAAGGTAAATGAGATTTGCGTATACAGATGTAGTGCAGCTACTTTCATCATGTTACATGCGCCATTTCGTCGCCTAAACGAAATTCTCTCTGTCCAAGTGGGAATAGTACGATAGAAACATATGGACGTTACATAAAACATCATTATTATTAGTATATAAAAAAAGTATTGTTGGAATATATAAATATACTAGGTGTGCCCGCGGTTTTACCCGCGTTTAATTTATAGCCTATATGTTATTCTGATGTCTAAGCTAAGCTATCATTTTTAAATTTCATAAAAATTAATTCAGTAGTTTTTGCGTGAAAGAGTAACAAACATCCATCAATAATCACAAACTTTCGCATTTATTATATTAATAATAAGATATATATTACTTTATTTGATATAATTATAAATTTCAATAGGACATGTCCAATATTATATTTTTGTATAAGTCCTGTACTTATTACCAACTTTTTACCCTATCTACAGTTTTACTCCATTTTGGAGTTTGTTCTATTGCTTTATTGATATAGCTAAGAATATTTTTTGCAATAATTGGCATGTCACATACACGATGTATATGGTATGTAGTCAGAGGTACAGAGCAACGCAACACTTGACTTGCCCACAATTTGCTGCATATATCTGAACTAAACGTAGCAGCGAGCACACAGCTATCTCTTCTACTTTTGTTGGTTTGTTATCGGTGTTATCATCACAAGTAACAGTAATGTACATGTTTACATAAACAATTTTTTTTATGTCGGTCGACGATACTCGCCATTTAGATGCTGTATTGTAGTTTGGGACCATCGATAAATTACTTCATAGAAGTAATCGAGTAATTACTTCATAGTTTTAATAGTTATATTGGATTTTGGAATGTGACGTTTCAAATATAAAACACTACACAAACACAATGTGTGACAAGGAGGTATGTAGTTTATCTTTCTCCTTGTCACACAATGTCACATTTATCGACTAACTCCTCCCCCCTCACTACCTTACCGTGTGACGCAATTTATGGCCTTATACTATAAAAATATTTTCGTATCCTGTATAAGCTCAGCGGAGGGATATTTATTTTTAAATTTGATTCTGTTTCACATGTAGCCTATATTCGCCTGCTTTATATTCGTAATATAGCCATTATGTTCAATAGTGACTGAGTCCCTGCATCGCCATCCTATAAACACCTCATTTTATTTCAAAGAAAATATTATGTATCTTAACGAAAAATTTCCTTTGATATTCAAACTCGGAATGTGTAAACATAGTTTGAAGAAAAAACTCTTAAAGAATTTCTAGTGTATTTTATTTAAATTTTACAACATCGTATGTATCAGTTTCATAAGCTAAAAAGAACGAATGAGACAAATAAAATAAATTCTTATGTCATACTTAGTTTATGCTGGCTCGTTCATGAGCATTTAATTCCAAAACAAAAATTCATAATAACTTATTTTTCGTAAATATATTTCTTATATTTACTACAATGTAAGCAGTGATTAACAATGTGTAGAAAACTCACATCTTATCGCGTTAAATGAAAGGCTTTTTTTTTCGGACTACTCTAATGCTGTTGGCCGCAGCTGGCCTTTACAGCTTCACCGGACGTTAGGGGGCGAGTGCAGATGGCACTCCAAACCCGCGGAAGGACTTATGGAGCGGCTGAAGGCCAACTCCTGCCTGACGGATTCGACTTTAGTCTGAGGGCATCACTAGGGGTTCGAACCTCGGCTCAGGCCGTCGTAATATCGATCCCCGTTTGAATTGGACGGGGAATCGATCGGAGCGGTAAATGAAAGGCGTGAGGATACATACCGAAGAAGTTTTTTTAAATACAATTTAATTATAGACTTCTTCGCCCTTAAACAATATATTAATAAACCCCATAAAATCCATTGGCTGATTTTTATATACATACAATAATTAAAAATAATCTTTTTGTGGTATGTATTCATATAGTACATAGAGTATAGTCGCCCGATAAAAATGTAAAAAATTGTGTTGTGCCATTTAATGCACAAAGTACCTTGTAAATTCTAGTACAGTAGTATGTATTATCTCATGACAATAAAGTTTATATTGAAGGTGTATACTACTGTATACCTTACTCTAAGTTATATAATTTAACGTTTAATCAACAAAGAGGGACATACGGGAATTAAAACACAAAACTTATAATTAATTACATTAATAATTACATGGTAAATTCAGAATATATAATAAAAAAAAAAAAACATAAAAGTTAAATGCTAAGACTGTCCCGTATCGTATCGTATCTGGCTTAAAGGTTCACATAACGCGCGCAGCATTTCCACGTTGAATTGTTAGGGAAATCCTTTGCGCCAGAATTAAAATACATGATTAAATTTTGTGTTATGCGCAAAAACCAAATAGTATTTTTTCTAAAAATAAAGTTGTAATTCATAAATTAATGAATATTCGTATGTAGATTATATTAGTAGATTTTAATGGATCAAGAAATAAAACAGTTTTTAGTTTAGTTCAGATTCCTCTTTTTTAAAAGTTTGGTTTGCCTATATTGTTTACTACAGACTTTATATTTTTACGTTACAAATTGAAACAGGGTTAGATAAAATGTAAAAATCTTCGGTGCCATAATAATCAGGTAAAGTACTTCGTACTTAGTCTTCGTTTTGTAACCCTATGAAAGTAATGCAAGTATTTATTTAGTTGTTTTACATACTATAGTAACTATATGTACATAAGAAATTTATTTTTAATTAAATTTTTTTATGTATAGATCAAATAAAAAAACAACACTCGAAACAGATAGGCGAACTTGTTTCTAAATCCCAGTAATATCTGTTATCTTTATCTGAATCTCTGTGTCCGAAACTGTATCTCTGTATCTTTTTGTGTGTTAATGTTTCAAGTAAAGAAAGCTAGAGGAATCCCAATAAAATTTTCATATAATTTATGTTACAATTGGGTTAAAATTAATTCATTTATCAATCAGATAACAATATACATGCGTACAAAGTTAAGGGAACTATTTGTAGATTAATGTTCTAAAATATAAATGTTTGGTAGGTATTAGGAAAACAATTTGTTGGTTAATTGAGCATTAATTCATTACCACAAAATGTACCTAAGGCTATATATTATACTTACACATATATACAACACATATATTGTTACGACTATATTTTCAGACAAAATATTCAGACATTGCCAACAATTGCAGTTGTGGTGAATCTTGACATGCTCACATTGAGTTGAGATCATTTAAATCCGAAGTGATAAAACACTAGTCTACTGCCTACTGCTTCTTAGGTTAAGTTGGTTTGTTCCTGGTGATTTCTCATCGCCGTAGAATTAGTCTGAACTTTAAATCCACACACAAAGATAGTATACTGTGGCAGCCTTTGTGAAAAGTTATCGGTTTTGGTTATATCAGGCGTCAAGTTTGCTTTGTAATCTGTATCATGAAATTACAGGATAAGAAGTATTACATCCTGGTCCTCAGGAATGCCAACATTAAGTGATATAACGGGCGATACATTGTTATGTAATCTTCGTAATGCTGTTAATGCATCTTACCATCAGGTGGGCCGAAATCTATATATCATATATATACTAGTCTGTAAGTCATCAACAAGTATTAGAGAACTAATTGATGTTATGATAACTAACCTGAACCTGGTATTCTAGGGTATCATTATTCGTCACCTGCAAATATGTGTATACATTAATACTAAAAATATCCCAGGACAATATACACTGAGCCATCTAGTCCCAAGCTAAACAGAGTTTGTATTATGCTTGTACAAGACAACTGATAGAAATACTTAAATACATGTTTTTTGTAAATAACTATGCATAGAAAATACCCTGACCGATACAAACAATTCATGAATGAAAATCTTTGTACCGTACAAAAAATCGGACCATTGACCATGAGAAGTAAAGCGTGGTTGTCTTACCTCAGAAGAGTTTCTATTACAATGTACATACATAACATTCTGCCTATAATTAACTTATTCATGTACATGGTATGCTGTAACTGAAAGTTTTCTAAAATTATAATTGCGTACATTATTAATTTATAATGTATTGGCAAATTAATGAATAAATAATATATATAAATATATATCTTCGCCTGCGTAGAATGATCCTGTCCAAATAAATTAAAAACCCAAAAAGTTTCTTTCATACCTTATTTTATTTTACTTCCTTAGTAAT